AAGCGGGATTCTCGTGCAATCGGACACCGTATTCCAAAAGCAGGAAAGAGGCGGGCTGTCCCTGAATGGTCGCCGCCGCTGGAGCTCTGGTGGCTCGCACTCTTCCATCGGCGTCACCTGGCGAACCTTCCCCTGGGAGTTGGGTCCGATCGCTGCCCTCATGATCTTCAGGAGTTTCACGAATTGGCGGTGTCAGGTCTTGCGCGGATCCGCGCGCGTGGTCAGGTTCCTGTTTGTTTGGGGGGAATCGTAGTCGCGGTGCACCTCTTCCTCGGCCTGATGGCAAACCACGTTGGATACGCCTCCTCGGTCCGTCCAGCAAGACCTGGACGTCTGGGGCCATGGCCCATAAGGCCAGCTGCAGGGGGCTGAAGAAGACTATGGATTTCTGGGTTTCGCCGTCGGGAGTGCGCCCTCATTGTCCAGGGGGGCGATGGGGAATCCCATACGAGGCAGGGGTATAGGTTCATCACGAACGCGCACGACCTCACGAACGCATTCGCTAGCAGGTCTAGGCCGCACGTGGAGCGTGCCATCCTTGCGCTTTTCACGAATAACAATGTGAAGTTCGGTATGCATAGATTACGTAGTGAGCTTTTTACTCTTCGGGGTCATGATACGGATATACATTTATCACCTGAGAGTGGGGGCCTAATGGGGGATGAGTATGCAGTTAATACATTCTGGACGACCTTCATCTCACCGATTGAAGGCTGGCTTGCCGACCAGCGATGGTGGGATCCGCTTGCCGATATCCTGTGCGCACGCCTGCCCAGTCTACGCCAGGGGCGGATCATGCTTGAGCCGCCTGCGATTGACTGTTCGCTCACGAAGTACGCGGACGACTTGACAGAAAAAACTGGCCCTGTCGAGGGCTGAGGCGATTCACAACCTTGTCGAACTTGGTCGGCGTGCCAATGTCTCCCTCGACCCGTTCCTGTCTGACGCGGGCTTCGCTCAGAACCTGACGAAGCAAGATGCTCTTTTACATGTCCTTGGGGAGGGTGCCGCTCGATTCCTTCGAGGTGTCAAGCCGGGGCGCGTCGCGTTTCCTGGGAAGGCGGTTTGGGAAGCCAAGAGTCCGGGGGCGTGGATGTGCAGTAACCCGCTGAACTTCGAGGTTGAGCTTCGTTCCAGGATCAGTTCGATTCGGCAGGCGTGGTATTCGATGGGCGGTGTCTGGACTCTTCGCGGTGTCCCTCATCGGCTGCGTCGGTGTCTTCTGATTTCTAAGGTCCATAATGTGGCGTTATCAGGGTGGGAGGCTTGTCTCCCTAGCCCTCAGCAACTGCGTCGGCTTCGAACTGCTGTCACCATCTACGCGCGCAAGGCTATGCTAGGTCAAGCTACTACATGGGCTGAAGGCCATCATCCTACCTCTCTCTTTCTCCTCTGAGGCGGTCTTAAGGTGGTGGGGGTTGGTCCCGATTGAACTTGAACTGCGGATTTGTCGGCTTCGTCTGTGGCAGAGTCTTTCTCGTGTTCCTGGTGCCCATCGTCAAGTCCTAGCTAGTCTGTTCGGCCAGTTCTGTGGCAGTGTTCTTGCTTGTTCTCCCGCTGTGCTCCCCGATGGACGGTTGTGTAATGATATTTCTTCGTGGACTAGTCGTCTCGTTTCTAATGTCGAGAGCATGTCCGACCTAGAAGATGGTGCTTCTCTCCTCTCCTGGCTGGATCAACGAGATTTCCTGTTGTTTGCCGATCCTGAATTTTCCGCCGAGTTCGTCAAGACCGATGGTCGTCAACTTCGCTCGTTGGCCCTCACGGCGCGCATCCCACCTCCAGGCATCTCCTCTGTTGTTCATGATGAGCAAGGCAGTAGCGTGGTGCGTGCTTCCGAGTTCACCTGCAGGTTTCTGAGTGCGGATGGCGCTAGATGTTGACAGTCTCTCCCCGATCGGCGGGCTTTACATAGCCATATCACCAATCACCATGGTTGTGGGTCCCTGGCGCATGTTGTTATCATTACTCGTCAATGCTGCGTATGCTTGGCCACTTTCATCTCGAGAGTGCCCGGCGCCATCTTGCTCGAAGTTTAGTGCCCGGCCATTGTTTGCGCGATCGCACTCGCAATCTTGCCGGGGCCCGAAAGCCGACGAGCTTGACCTGTCCATTGCGCCCGTTCCCCGCGGGCGTTTTGCCCGAACTTCAGGATCATCTTCGCGCGCATCCTGCGCCGTGCCCTCTTCCACCGCTGGGCGAGGCCCTCGAGGATGGACGTGACTCCGCATTGGATGCTGCCCGCGGCTGCGGCGTCGGCCGGCGCCGCCCCCCCCCCCCCCCCCCCCCCGAAGAAATAATAATAATAATAAAAATCGCGCGCTTCCACGAGCAGGCGCAGACAGAGGGCGTGGACAAGGGCGGGGCCCTCGAGGCTCTGGTCGCGATCCTCGCGCGTCTCTCGCTCAGCAACGCAGCAGAACTTCGAGAATTGTGCGGAGTTCTTTTCGTTACCAATCTGGCGGCGTCCGATCATCCTGTGATCGCGGCCGCGCTCGCGGCAGGGAAGGCCTGCCACGAGGAGGCGAAGCGCCGCAAGGCCGACCAGAACGAGGCTCCCATGGGCCCGCCGTTCGTGCAGGCGTGGGTCGCCATGATCAGGGCCATCGGGCAATGCGACGATTGCCCATGCCAAAGCATGGGCCCACTCGGCGAGTACTGGACCAACTTCATTCTCAAGAACGACATCGACACGGTTGCGACCAGCGCCAGGGCATGCCGAGTGAGGCCCGCTCGCAAGCAGGAGAACAAGCCGTCGGTGCATCGCGTGACGTTCGCGGTGGACCACTCATCAGTATCTCGAGGCCGCCCTCATTGCCTTCTTCAACGGGATCAAGGGCGCGAGGAAGTACGGCGCAGCCCCGAAAGGGGCACTAGAGCGCGACGCCTAGAAGTTCCTAGAGAAGTTGGAGGGCAAGCAGTAGTGGATCAGCTGCATGTTCAAGGTCAGGGCTTGGGGAGTAGCTCTGTTGCAGTTCTTCCTTCCGGTCGGGGATGTCCTGAAGTCTCTTGGAATTCGGATGTATTTTCTGTAAAACACCTCCGAATTCCCAAGGCCCCAGTCTCCAGCGGGACCCAAGCTGCCGAGCAGACTGGGAATGATGTTCGCACTGGTGTTGTGGAGATGCAGTCTTTGGGTGTTCCTGGTAGTGAATCTAATTTGCAGTACAGTAGTGGTGCTTCTTCGGATGATGATCGACGACGGGCTCTTGCCCCACGGCTCCTTGGCGCCGCTGCGAGGCCGGTTGAAGACGGCGCCGCTGACTCTCCGACTCCTTCCCCGACGCCCTGTACGAGATTAGACTTCCGTGAGACCCAGCCTTTTTCTCGCTTAGGGGCCCTTCCGACGATCCCGTATTCGAGTTCGGCCGTCGATCGATCGGTCGGGCCCCCTCGCCCCCCTCCTTTTCGTTCTCGGAGTCGTCCTCCTGTTCCCCTTCCGCCCGCTTTCCGCGGTAGTGCTCAGTATCCAGAGCTCGCGCGTCGCGGTGCACTTCCACTTCCCTCCTCCTCCTCGGGGGTGGTGCCTGGGGCCTCCGCGGTTTCGCTTTCGGCCCCCTCCGCGGGGGGTGATTTGTTTGAAATGAGAGGGGGGGTGCACTTGACGAGGGTCGAATCTTCTTTCCCTGCGCGCGTGCGAGGCCCACGGCGCGTCGGGGGAGGGGCGCAGGTCGTGGGCGATCTGTGTAGTTATCTGACTGTGAGGGCTTTGAAGAGTGGTGGTGCCATGAGACGCCCACTGGCGTGTGCCCCCATCGGGGTCGTCTCCAGGCTCGAGCGTCACCCCGTCGACAGGGCCCCCTCTCAGTTGGAAGTCGCTTTCATTAGCCACTCAGATCTAATTTTTGATTGTCTCGTAGCAAGGAGAGACTTTGGGTCCGAGAGTTGCTTGCTTTGCTCCTCCTCCTTATCCTCCTTCTCCGCCCCCTCCTCCTCCTCCTCCTCCCCCTCTTCCTCCTCCGCCTCCTCCTCCTCCTCCCCCTCCTCCTCCTCCTCCTCCTCCTCCCCCTCCCCCTCATAATCCTCTTCCTCCTCCTCTCCCTTCTCCTCCCCCTCCTCCTCCCCCCCCCTTCCGGCGAAGCCTGGCACTTGTTTTCATGGAGTCAGTGCCGAGCGCCCTCGGGGCACACTGTACACGGCATTTATTCCGCAGGTTGGGCGGGGTGCAACCGGCCGAGTTTTCTGGAACCGCGGGCTCTGGGGCTTGGGGTGGACGTTGCGAAACCTGCATCGACGGGCCCCCCGTCGTTGGGTGAAGCACGGCCCCAGTTTCAGCTTGGCCCTGCTGGTGAAGGCGAGTAGCGGCGCCTGTACGGTCATTTCATTGTGATCTGACCCTCAGGGATCGGCATTTCCTCGGGAGGTGGTGGCTTGTGCCACGTGAGCCCCCAGGGGCCTTGTGCCCACCCAGGGCTGGGGAGTTGTGCTCCCCAGTATGCCGTGCCAGCTGTTCCGACTGGGATGCTTCTGGCTCCCACCGCGCCACGTCGGAACCGCTGGGCCGCGAGTCTTCACAGGCGACGTGGCCCCCCTATGCCCTTCCTGCGCAGTTGTTGCTGCTTTCCGGGCGGTAGTTCGTTGGCTGGGCGCGTGTAATACACGCGCGGCCCTCGGGAGACCGACCCTGGGCGCTGGACTCCTCCGCCTCCGCCTCCTCCTCCTCCTCCTCCTCCTCCTCCGCCTCCGCCTCCTCCTCCTCCTCCTCCTCCTCGCCTTCCTCCTCCTCCTCCTTTTCCTCCTCCTCCTCCTCCTCCCTCCTCCTCCTCCTCCTCCCTCCTCCTCCTCCTCCTCCTCCCCCTCCTCCTCCTCCCTCCTCCTCCTCCTCCTCCTCCTCCTCCTCCTCCTCCTCCTCCTCCTCTTCCCCTCCTCCTCTCCTCCTTCCCCTTGGGGCTCGCCGTTGGGACGTGGACTGTCGACCGACGCCGTTCTGCGACGGCGCTGGCGTCGACGCCGCTCGGCCGGGGCGGCCCGCAGACGCGGCGGCCGCGGCGGGCCCCGAGGCCATGTCCACGGCGGCGTCGCCCAACGTCACCGGGCGCTTGCCGCCGCGGGAGTGGCCGCCGCCCGCCCGCGCCGCCGCCCTGCGCTTCCTCCGCCTCCTCCGCCTCCTCCTCCTCCTCCTCCTCCTCCTCCTCCTCCTCCTCCTCCTCCTCCTCCTCCTTCTTTTCCCCCCCTTCCTCCTCCTCCTCCTCCTCCTCCCCCTCCATTCCCCCCTCCCCCGGTGAAGTTATTTGGCGGTGCGCGCAGGCAGCCCAGGAGAGGCACTTCGAGAGGTGCCCGCGGGCAGCCCAGGAAACAAACACTTCCGAGGTACCGTGACGGCGTCGCCGAGCGCCACTTTGCCTGCCCAGTTTGTCGGCCGATCAGTGACCGTTTTGCCGGCCCTTTTTTGGCGCGATGGGTCGTGGTCGGCGCGGGCGTCGCCGTCGTTGTCGTCGTGGTCGTCGTCGCCATCATCGTGGTTGTCGTGGTCGTCGCGATAGTCGTGGTAGTCGTGGACGTCATGGGGCGGCCTCCTAGATGGGGTCGGAGGATCGCGCCGCATCGTCGCCGATGCGGCTCGATGTGCAACCTGATTTGCTTCACGCCGACGTCGCCGATGCATCGCCGATGTCGACGATGCATCGTGGGTGCATCGCGGATGCATCGCCGATGGGTCGGCGATGCGGCGCGATCCCCCGACCCCATTTACCCCGCCCCATCCAGGAGGCCTCTAGTTTTGTTTGCCCTTTTTGGCACGGGTGGGCCCTGTTGACAGAGGATCGTCCGCGGCCGCTTCGCAATTTCAATGTTGCCTGCCTGGGCGCCGTCGTGGCGCGGTTTCCCTCGGGGGTTCTGGCCGTTCTGTTTGTTTTTTTGGCGGGGGGGGTGCCTTGTCGGGAGAGGATCAATCGTGGCCGCGGCCGGGGGTTCCCCTTGGGATCGTGGCTTGGGAGCGCGCATCCACGGAAATACCCAGCGGCCGATGTTTTCGAGCAGTGGTGAAGCGTCCAAGCATGCCGATTGGCCCACCAGAGGATGTTATGGAAACAGAGTGCGGTTTGTGTAACAGGTCCACAGAGCATTTATGGCTGAGATTGTCATGTTTCAATGCATTCGCGTTATGTTCTAAGAGCAGTGTTCGGTTTAGTGGACAATTCGTTTGCTCTCAGGAGAGTTCGTGGCAGACCCAGAGGGATGCACGGACGGTCGGTTTCTGCTCGAAGGATTGAGGGCACGCTCGAGTTGCCGCGATAGCAAGCGGCGCTCCAGTCCATGGCGCTCTGGCCACCACTTGGCGTCCACGAGGCCAGGCCCGCACGAGGCAGAGCGGCACGCCTCGGGGCGCATTTCCCTCTGGTTTTTTTCTCAGGGCTCGGTGCCTGGTGTGTCCCCTTCGTGAGGGGTGGAGGGCGTGGACGTTGTCGTTTTGTTTGGTTGGCGGCCTTTCTGGGGCTTCTCGTGGCCACGCCCGCCCGCCCGCCCGTTTCCGCCGTTGGCGTCGTCAGCGTTCGCGGCGTCGGCGTCGTCGGCGCCATCGTCGGCGAGGAGGAGGAGAAGGGAGGGAGGAAGGAGGAGGAGGAAGGAGATAGGACGAAGGACGAAGGACGAATGACGAAGGAAAAAGGGGGAAGGGGGAAAGGGGAAGGAGGAGGGGGAAGGGAGAAGGGGAAGGGGAAAAGAAGGGGAAAGGGAGAAGGAGGAGGAGGAGGAGGAGGAGGAGGACGAGGACGAGGAGGAGGAGGAGGAGGAGGAGGAGGAGGAGGATGAGGAGGAGGAGGAGGAGAGAGGGCGGAGGGCGGAGGGAGGAGGGAGGAGGGAGGAGGAAAAAGGAAAGAGGACGAAGGGAGGGAGGAGGGAGGAGGGACGAGGGACGAGGGACGAGGGACGAGGGGGGAGGAGGGGGAGGAGGAGGAGGAGGAGGAGGAGGAGGAGGAGGAGGAGGAGGAGGCGAAAAAGGAGGAGAAAGAGGACGAGGAGGAGGACGAGGATGAGGATGAGGAGGGAGGAGGAGGAGGAGAAGGAGGAGGAGGAGGAGGGAGCAGGAGGGTGACATCTCTTTGCCCTTCCTCCGCCCTCCCCCCCGGGTGCCGAGCGGCGTCGCCGCCAGGACGTCGCCGCGAGCATGCCGGGCGTCGCCCGCCCCTGCAGATGGGGGAGCGGGAAGAGGAGGGGATCGCAGCTCGCGGTGCTGGTGCAGGAAGAGGAAGAAGGGGAGGAGCAGCCGGAGAACGTGCAGGAGGAGGGAGGGGGATGCGAGCAGGAGGAGGGAGGAGGAGACGAGCAGGAGGGGGGAGGGGGGGCATGGCGGGCCCGCCCAGCGGGCTCCCGGGCGACCTCCTTTCTCGGCCCCCGTGTCGCCCTCGTCGTCGCGCCCGCCAGGCCACCGCGCAAGCGCCACCGCAGACCCCCCGCTCACCGTTCTCCCTCGCTGTGGCCGCGGGTCTTCCGTCGTTCCCGCCGTGCCCGTCGTTGCCCCCCGTGCCTGGGAGCGCGAGGTCACCGCACGGTCCGTCACCGCACCGCTTTGGTACTCCAAATTTTGGTAGGTGAATCTCTCAAGCTTTCAGCCGCCTCTGGCGGTGTCGGTTGCGAGCAGGAGCACAGCAAAGTCACAGGGAAGCGCGGCATTGACAGCGTAGCTCCGCAGACGTGACACATGTTAACGAGCAAAAACACAGCAAAGCCCCAGGAGAGCGAGGCATGTAGGGTGGTGGCCGGGGAGCACCCGCGACATGTCCACGAGCGTGGTTCCACCCCCACTCTTCTCGACGAGGAAGCAGTGGCAGAAGCACCCAATTTCCTGAGGTCGGCGCGGGTCTCTTGGATCGGCGCTAGATGCAAGTCGGGCATGTCCACCTGTACAGGGAGAAAATGCAAAAAGGGTACAGCCATACTCTGTGGACGATTCTTCGACTCTTTTTGAATATGCCTGACTATGTTTCACTTGTCTCCCAAAATCCGCCCGTAGGAGGACATGCACGACCTGACGCTAGATCCCCCCGCCCTGGCACACGGCAGGAGCGACAGAGAGGCGGCGCAGGAGGGGCTCCAGCTCCGGGGGCCCCCACCGCCGACCGGCCCGAAGAGAGCCGCGCGGACGTGCGCAAAGGGTTACCCTTGCGCTTGCGTTTCTCGTCTGCTCCCTGAGATCCGATCTGCATTGGGGGTCCATGCCAAGAAACAGCCCTGCTCGCCTCCCCCATCCACCTCCTCTTCCCCCCCCTCCTCCTCCTCCTTCTTCTCTTCCTCCTCCTCCTCCTCCTCCTCCTCCTCCTCCTCCTCCTCCTCTTCCTCCTTGCAGGGAAGCCAAGATGGCCTCCAGAGTGTCCCCCCCCCCCAATGAGCCCCAGAGGACCCCACAGGTTTCAAGATGGCCTGGAGAAGCTGGGTGGCACCTTGGGCCAGGGTCACTTCTGGTACAGTGGGAGGCCCACGCTAAGAAACAACCCTGCGTGCCTCCAGGGTGCCCTGGATTTCTTGGGCTTGGAGGGTTTTGCGATGGAAAGTGCGACGTTCCCACACCAAAATTCAATGGGTGCCCTGGGGTCTCAGGGTTGGGTTTCTTGTGGAAGGTTTCTTGTGGACCGGCCCCCACTGCACGTTTTTGGTTGCTTGCTCAGATCCGATCTACGCGTCGGTCGCTGAAAGTGCGGTAGGTTCGCGCCGTGTCGACCGGCGGCGACCCCGCCGCCAGCATTCAACGTTGATCGGGGGCAACGATAGGGGGGGGATAGGCATAGGTCAGGAGGGAAAAAAACACAGACACAATTGATCGTCGACTCCCCAGGAAAAATATGGGAAAATACGGGAAGTGGGGGGAAGACAAAAAGCCAGAAAGTATAAGAAAATGTGGGGAATCCTGTCATTTGTGTGTATTTATTTGTGTGTTCGTGGGCCCCTTCAATAAGGGGGGACGCATCGACCCCCAATCGCCCATTGATCGCCGACACGGGGCCCGATCCAACCCGCCCAGGAAGGTGCGGACCCACCATCGTGGGGCTATCGCCGATCTATCGCCGATCTATCGCCGATTCCAGGTCGATGCGTCCCCCCCCTGTGCCAGCCCCCCCCCTGTCGTTGCCCCTCAGTCGAGCGCATTCGGCGACCCAGGATCGGCCGATGCCGAACGATCTGACGCTTCGAAGGCGGCCGCTCGTGCAGGGTTTGAGCGATCCCCCCCGCGGCGTCGGCACCCAACGCCGAAGTCGGCACGACACTGAACCCGCCCCGGGTACTCTTCGCACTCCTAGGTCCCAATCCAAGTCAAGCGCCTTCCTACCTCAGGACTCGATGTGCTGCTGCTGTGTTCTGCTGCGCTCTCGGAGGGCCTGAACCCAATCTGCGGTATCCGCCCTCCTGTTTCATTCCCAGCCATCCTGCGGTGCTGGGCCCTCGTTTTGGAGAAAGGGCGCCCCGCGTCTTGCCTCCTCCTCCTCCTCCTCCTCTTCCCGCTATTCCCTCATCCCATCATGTTCCTTCTGCCCTCCGCATGTCTCTGGTTCAGCACGCCCTCACACGTTTCGTGGCCCAACAGGGAGCTCCACCTACGGTCACAGTGGCCCAGTCCGCATGTGGGCGACACCCCCGTTTCGGCAAAACCCTCACACGCTTCGTGGCCCCAGAAGGAGCTCCACCTCAGGCCCCAGTGACACAGCCCGCATGTGGGCGACACCCCCCTCTCGGCACACTCCTCACATGTTTCACCTATGGCCCCAGTGGCGCAGCCCGCATGTGGGTGGTACTCCCCGTTTCGGCACACCCGTCACGCGTTTCGTGGCCCCACAGGGAGCCGCACCTACGGCCCCAGTGGCGCAGCTCGCATGCTGGCGACAACCCCCGTGTCGGCACGCCCGTAACGCGTTTCATGGCCCCACAGGGGGAGCTCCACCTAAGGCCCCAGTGGCGCAGCCCGCGTGTGGGTGGCAGCCCCGTTTCGGCACACCCGTCACGCGTTTCGTGTCTCCACAGGGAGCTCCACCTAAGGCCCCAGCGACAGCCCGCATGCGGGCGTTGCCTCATAGGGAGTTCCACCTCAGACGGTTGCTCACGATGGCGGTACCCACACTTGCAGATGGTCGAGTCTTTCGCCAGGCTGCTGTTTCTGCCTCTTTCTTCCGACCGACGCGCATTGTTGTCTCCTGGCATCGCTCGGACGTGTGCATTTTTGCCTCGACGAGGGCCCTCGAGGAGCATCTTGGACCATCCTGCGGGCAAAGACGCGCACGAGTCCGAAGAGATGCACGGGGAAGGGACGCCCGAGCGATGGCGAGCTCTCTCACCGCGGAGGCCCCCGAAGTCCGTTCCCCAGGGGCCCGCTCGGCATTCGGAGGTCGTTGTTCGACGGTCCCCGGGGGCCCGGCGAGGGCCCCGAGAGACCGACCACGACGAGAACCTTCCGCACCGGATTTCTCAATACGCTGGAGGCTCGGGAGCCTTGAGACGGGGGTCAGTGCAAACGGGGGTCAGCCAGGGCCCCGGATCCTGGAGGATCCTGCGAAGACGCGAAGACCCCCTTTGGCTGACCCGGGTTAGCGAGCCTCTCGTGGCCGCGAGGCGGCCACACATATTGGCTGACCCGGGTTTGCGAAGACCTGCGTTGCAGTTTTTTTTGTTCCTGCATTGCAGTTTTTGGTTTCCTGCTGACCTGGGTCTGGATTGACCCGGGTCGGAAGATCCCCGAGAGGCCTGGGGTTTGCCAATGAGCGTGGACGATGTTCGTTGTTGACGGGGTTGTCGTGGGGGGCACTGCAGGCGCTTGGGCCTCTTTCGCATCTGTCACTGTTAAGCAACACATGCTTTGCTGCAGTGTGGTGCTGCACAGCTGATCACCACATAGACTGCGAGACTCGGCAAGATAACAAAAAAGAAAGAAACAAAAAAAACGCTGGAGGTCTGGGTCCAGGCTCCTCCTCGCTCGAGTGAAGCACGGGAGCGAGATTGAAGTCGGGCATGTCCCTCTACGGGACGAATATTCAAACATAGAACTAACAAATAATATGGGGACGATTATTTTCACTACCTTCGACCATTTTGGAATATGTGTTGGCTATGTTTAATCTTCCTTCCAAAACCCGCCTGTAGGAGGACACGCCCGAACTAAATCGAGGTAATAGAAGCGGCGTCTGCACGTGGGCAACCCCCCGCGCAGGCCCAGAAAAGCTTCGGAGGACGACGACGGCGAGGACACGAGCACGGACGGTGGGAACGCACGACGAGGCGACAGGGGGTTTCGCATGCAACTCCTGGGAGGTTCAATTCTGTCTCTGCCCTCCTCCCCCTCATTCTCATCCTCCTCCTCCTCATTCTCATCCTCGTCATCCTCCTCCTGGGGTCCGAAAGCTGGCTGAATCCAGCTTGACCACGCTGAATCTGGCTTCCTCCCGCCGGATCCAGCTTCATCCCGTTTCAACGGGCTCAGTCCCGTTCAATCGGCGGCCCAAGTTGGCGTAATAGGCAGCCCCCCAATGTCGGATGTCGGTGGCCACATGTGAGCCCTACCCCCACCCCCCACGATTTCTAAGCGGGTGGTGGTGGTTCATTTCGTTCGGGAGGTCCCGAGCGGAGTTAACCGCCAGCCCCCTTAGAAATCGGGGGGGGGTGGGGGTAGGGCGCACATGTGGCCTCTTACCAACGGGGCTCAGTGGTCCCGAATCCTTCTGACGAAGGCCTCCCAGTAGCTGCCTCCTTTTCAAGGGGAGAGGCAAGACGCCCGGGCCCCTGCTCTCTGCGCCCAAAACGGCGCTGACGCCGTTCTCCGTGAGCCCGGCGGCCCGGCGGCGGCGCCTTTCGAAAGCCACTCGACTTTCGAAGGATGAGCTATCTCGAAGAATTCCACTATGTTTGGCTATTTGGAAGCATTTTGATGACTATGTTTCAACTTTCTATCAAAAGCCGTCCGTAGGAGGACATGCCCGACCTAACTCAAGAGACGGGGGCCAATGCAGGCGGGGGTCAGCCAGAGGGCCGGATCCGGCAAGATCCTGCAGAGCCAGGGGCTTGGCATCGCTCGGACGTGTGCATGTTTCCTTCGGCGAGGACCATCGAGGAGCATCCTTGATCATTTGGCCAAAAAACCACTTACGAAACCAAACAAAAACACAAGGAATGGACGTCCGAGCGATGGCCAGGGGGTGCACGTCGACGAAGAACAATCTGCATGAACAGAAGCTTTTGTTGGCGCTCCGCGCTGCTTTCTCGGATCCGCGCCGGGCCCCCCCCCAAGCGGCGCTTCCGGCGCCGCTCTTGGCGCGCTCCGCGCGCCAGGGAGGGGGCCCAGGGCAGCTCCGAGAAATCCGCGCGGAGCGCCCAAAGTTTGTGGTTGTGGCGTTGTTGTTCTTCTTCTAGGCCTGCACGAGCCCTGCCGAGCACCCAGCTCCGCTCGTCATCACTACCCCCCTTCTCGACGTCGCCCCTGCTCCCATCCCCTGCTCATCCTTCGGGGTGATCGAAGTGGGTACGGAAATGATGGGCACAAAGACCGATAACGGTTCTTGTTCATCTTGAAAAGGACCCGCTGTCGGCCTCGCCGCAGGCATCTGTCCTCTTGAGACAGGAGGCCGCCTGCCCAACAGCGGCCGCTGATGATTTTGGACAACGTTTGTTGTTGGGCGTTGTACCCATGTTTTCCGTACCCATTTCTCTGGGGTGGACAGACCTCCTACCCTGACACGTCGATTAGTGAATTGGCCGGTTTCGGTTCGCGAGAGGGCGTCGCGGCTGTCATTTCTGCGGGTCCAAATCCGTCGGTTTTGGCCCCAGGCCGTTTACACTAAGGGGAGGTTTACTAAAGGAAGGTTTGTCCACCGCCGAATTTCGAGCGTCCAATCCTCGCTCGACGTCCTCCTCCTCGTTTATCGTCGTCCTGTTTTGTCTCATGGATGCGTTTGGCTCGGAGCAGCACGTTGCTCAGACGGCGTGCCATCGCCCGCCGGGCGAGGAGGAGGACGAGGAGGAGGAGGAGGAGGAGGAGGGCGAGGAGGAGGAGGGCGAGCAGGAGGAGGAGGAGGGCGAGGAGGAGGAGGAGGAGGAGGAGGAGGGGCGAGGAGGAGGAGGAGGAGGACAAGCGCTAAAGGAGGAGAGGAGGAGGAGAGAGGAGGAGGAGGAGGAGGAGAGAGGAGGATGGGAGGAGGATGAGGAGAAAGGGAGAGAGGAGAGAAGGAGCAGGAGGAAGAAAGAGGCGAGGAGGAGGAGGGCGAGGAAGAGGGCGAGGAGGAGGAGGGCGAGGAGGAGGGCGAGGAGGAGGATGACGTCACGTTGCTCGAGCCGCTCGCCCGCCGGGCAGACGCCCGCCCTGGGCGGGCGCCGCCCGCGGCAGAGGCACCCCGCTGGACGCCAGCTGGCAGCGGATGCCCGTCGGGGGCCTCCACGGCTTGGGGCCTCTCGGCGAAGGCCCCGGCCCCCGGCGCGCTCGGCACGGGGACCCCAGGGACCCAGCGCATTGAAAAAAGCTTTCGGCCTCCACCGCCGCCTCCTCCTCCTCCTACTCCTCCTCCTCCTCCTCGCCCTCCTCCTCCTCGTCCTCCTCTTCCTCCTCTTCCTCCTCCTCCCCCTCCTTCGCCGCCCGGGCTCGGGGGCAGCGCACGGGGCTGGCGTGAAGTCGGGCAGGTGCCCCAGAGACCCAACGCAGTGAAAAAAACATGACGAAGTTTTTTCGCGGCTTTCGGCCTCCAGGGGCCCTTGCCGACCCCTCGGGACCGTCAAACATCGATGCCTGATGAAAAACTGGTCGTGGGGGATGGGTCGAGGCTTCCGGGGATCTCGTATTGAAAAAATCGCGACGTCGGATCTCCGGGGATCTCGGGTCTCAAGAGACGGGGTCCATGCAAGCGAGGATCAGCCAGAGCGCCGGATCGTGCAGGGTCCTTCTAGGCCTCCCAGATGGGGTCGGAGAGGAGCGCACTCGTACGACTCCTAGATGGGCTCGGAGTAGGTGGGGTCGGAGAGTCGCGCCGTATCGCCGATGGATCGCCGATGCAGCTCGAATTGGAGGGCGTCAGCGGCACCGTGACGGGTACTCACTGAGGGACATTTTCTGGAGGTTTGCCGAACGTTGCTTTTTGGGGGGCCTCTTCTGGCTCTGCAGCATGTTCCACGTTGGGGAGGGCTGGGTTCGCCGGGTCACTGACCGGAGTACCCGTGAGTAGGGTTTCCCTGTCAGAGGGGCGCTGATCGGGGCTCAAAAGACGGGGGTCCATGCAGACGGGGGTCAGCCAGTGCGCCGGAGCTTCAAAAACCTAAAAACCAGCCACTCGATCCGTCATCGCAGAACTTCAAGGCTCTGCCCGCGCGCACCTCCTGGGCTCATACGCCACATGATCCAATCCACTGCGCGAAGAACCCACAGCTGCATGTCACCATGTGTCGGGCCGAACGAAAGGGGGAGATCGGGAAAGAGAGGGTTACGAAATCTGCTGCATGCAGCTGGTTTCGGCCCCACCGATGGGCCCATTCCTCGATACATGGCCGCCTCCGGCGCCGGGAGGCGCCGGGAAAATCAGCTACGTGAGCTGATTCTCAAACCCCCCCTTTGCTATCACCCCCTTTCGCCCGACCCGACTGTGGCGCGTGCCCGCTGATCCAGCATGCGCCCAGTGCGCGAATCCCTGTCAATCACTACCGCGCGAGCCGCGGGCGCGCGCCGAGCTCCATCCCAAGCCATGTGTCTTCGTGAGCTTCAGAGGCGCGCGGGAGGAAAAGCAATGGCTGTCCAGCGGATACTTGGCCCCAGTTTTGGGGATTTCCGCGCGGGGGCACTTCCTCACCGTCGCCCTCGCCAGTTCCGCCTCGTTATCCCATCGACGTGGACAGTCGCCGCCATTACTTCTATCCTCACGCAAGCACCTTCAGCATCGACACCTGGACATCATCATCGTCATCAGCGATGCCAGCATCGGCACCGCCATTGGCCTGGCCGTCGTCGTAGTCAGTTCGCTACAATTATCATCGTCGGCGTCGTCGCGATACCGCGCCCGCCCGAGCAACCGACCCGCACTCGAGATCCCAAGCACCAGCTCGGCCCTTGACGCGCGCTGGGGAGGTCCCATCGGCAAGCGCCGCCGCGGCCGCATCGGCTGCGCCGAACTATCTGGCCGCGCGCGCGCCAGCGCGGCCGCGGAGACGCGACGGCCACGTCCGAGGATTCATCGCAATCGCCGACGCGTGGGTTTTGCACGCCACGTTGCGAGCGGGAGGGTGGGACATGCTCGCGCCGTGGAGTTGACAAGGCACAGTTTCCGAATTAGTGGCGCCACGTAGATTGCACCACGCAGCTTGCACGACATAGTTCACACCGCATGTATGTTTCCACATAGGGTGCACCACATGGAATGTCCCATAGAGCATGCATCACAAGTATGATCCATGTTATCCTTGTCTTATCGATTATCCCTGACATAGCACAATCTACATAATATGATGTTGCACCATCTGTCATTTTTAACATGAACCCATGCCATCTCAGCCGGGCTGATACCGACCCCCTTGCCCGAATCGTCGTCAAATAATACGATGCGCGCGCATTCGTTTATAAATAACCAACCACCTTCAAGAAACAGTGCAGCATGTGTGACAAAGTCCAAACGTGCGCCTCAACGACTGCCATGTTTCGTACGGATTTCAAGATGGAGAATCCCGAAAGCAAATAAAAACAATGGTTTTGCAATTTGGCTGTTCAAAAATGTCTGCGCGCGCGTTCTCTTGCGAGTTTTATGGGGTACTATCGGAGTTTCATGATTTTCATTTCTTTCGACCAACCGGGCCTCTCGCGCGCGCATGCAGAAGTCATTCGGACGCCTTTGCGCGCTTGCTGTGGGTGGGGGTGGGGGTGGGGAGCGGCACGATCCCTGTCAAATAGAAAAGTGCGGCGGATTATTCGCGCGGGTCGGCCCCGCGCGAATGTCAAAATCTTTTCAAAACTTTCATCACCAGCACGTGGACACCGTCATCGTCACCGGCGTGAGCAGCATCGAGGTCGTCATTTGCCTTGTCGTCGTCATCGTCATCGTCTTCACCAGCATCGCTACCATCATCGTCGTGTCCACTGTTGTTGGCGTCGCCATGATACCGCGCCCGCCCAACTCACCGACTCGCACTGAAGTGCCCGCGTGTCGGCGCGGCCTGCTAGACGCGCTGGGAAGTCCCCAGCGGTCAACGACACCGACGCTGCTTCGGTCGCGCCAGACCAAGTGGCTGCTGTGCGCGCGATCCTGCGCGCGCTAGCGCGGCCGCAACAATGCGCCAACCAGCGCCAAACAGTCATCGGCTGCGAACAAAATTGATTTCTCCCCTCCAAAAGAGATATAGACTCTACCCCCCCGCCTCACGGCGGTATCACTACCCCCGTGTCCTATGTAAATCACATACGATTCGGATCACATGTCCATCCTAAATATGAAATCGCAATGTCCCAGGCCAACTGGGCTCCCCCCCCAGAGGATCCCGGGTAAAAAAAACTATGCGGTGACATGTGCTGTTCTAACATAAGACTTGTTCACGAATCCCTTAGCAAACAATGTGACGAGGTGCACACGCGCGCTTCGTCGCGCGCGCATGCCGATATCCTTCGAAAACCGTTGGTACCGGAAGGATTTCGCAACCGAGTTTCCAAAACAAACATACAACAACACAAGGTTTCGCAAAACCGAATTGCTAAAAAAAACTTCCGCGCGAGTTTTCGCCAAATCTCAAGAAAACCATCGGTTTTTTACAGATGTTCACAAAATGCTACCAAACGGGCATCGCGCGCGCGCATGTCGAAATCTGTTGGGCGCCTTTGTGCGTGTGCCGTCGCGAGACTCCTGTGCAAAAAATGGGACGAAGTGCAGACGCGCGCGTGGTCGCGCGAATACGCCGATAACCTTCAACACCCATCGGTTTCGGAAGGATTTCAAAATCGCGTGTCCAAAACACCTACAAAAACCGAAGGTTTCGCAACACGGATTTTCAACAAAAGCGTGCGCGCCCGCTCTTGCGTCGTCGTCGTCGCCGTCGCCGTCCTTCCTTTTTCCGCGTCGTTGTCGTCGTCGTCGTCGCCTACGTCGTCCTCTGTCTTTCCTCGTGTTCGTCGTCGTCGTCGTCCTCTTTGGCGTCGTGGTCGTTTCCGAAACGTCGTTGTCGCCGTGGTCGTCATTCCTCCTCCCTCGTCGTCGTCGTCGTCCGTCGTCGGCGTCTCGTCGTCGTCCCTCCTATTTCGTCGCCGTCGTCGTCGTCGTCGTTGTCGTCGTCGTCGTCCGTCCTCCCTCGTCGTTGCCGTCGTCGGCGTCGCCGTCCTTCCTCTTTCTTCGTCGTTCGCGTCGTCGCCGTCCTCCCTCCTCCCTCGTCGTTGTCGTCGTTGCCGCCGTTGTCGCCGTCGTCTTCCTTCCTCCTCCCTCGTCGTCGTCTTCGTTGGCGTCGTCGGCGTCGTCGTCGGCGTCGGCGTCGTTGTCGTCGTCGAAGTCGTCGGAGACGTCGTCGGTGTCGTCGTAGTCGCTGTCGTCGGTGTCGTCGTAGTCGGTCTTAAGAGAAGAGGTTTTGCAAACCAAGTTGCGGGTGGGTGGGTGGAATGTTTGCAAGAGCGTGGGATGTGTCAAACCATGGGTAAAAACTAATCTTGTTTTCTAAAAAGAGAATCGACTCTACCCCCCCCCCCGGAGTTAACGCTTCCCCTTGGGATATTATAATTTCGTATATATATATGTATATTCTGCACACTAGTCTATTCTAAATATGAAACCATACCATCCCAGGCAGGCCGGTTTCCCCCCCCTGAGGGTCCCTTGTAAAAAAACACTATGCGGTGACATGTTTTGCTCTAACATTGCAGTTTTTCACGAATCCCTTGCAAAAAAAAAAAGACGAAGTGCACACGCGCGCGTCGTCGCGCGCGCATGCCGAAATCCTTCGAAAATCTTCGGTGCCGGAAACATTTTCGCAATCGAGTTTCCAAAAAACATACAAAAACACATGGTTTCGCATCACAGGTTTGCTATAACAAAACTTCCGCGCGAGCTCTTGCGAAATCTTAAGAAAACCATGGGTTCTTTTCAAGATTTTCACAAAATGCTACCAAACGGGCTTCGCGCGCGCGCATGTCGAAATCTGTCAAACGCCCTTGCGCGTGTGCCGTCGCGAGAATCTTCTGCAGAAGATGGGACGAAGTGCAGACGCGCGCGTGGTCGCGCGCGTACGCCGAAATCCTTCAAAACCCATTGGTTTCGGAAGGATTTCGAAATCGCGCGTCCAAAATACGTACAAAAACCGAAGGTTTCGCAACACGGATTTTCAACAAAAGCGTGCGCGCCCGCTCTTGCGTCGTCGTCGTCGCCGTCGCCGTCCTTCCTTTTTCCGCGTCGTTGTCGTCGTCGTCGTCGCCTACGTCGTCCTCTGTCTTTCCTCGTGTTCGTCGTCGTCGTCCTCTTTGGCGTCGTGGTCGTTTCCGTCGTCGTTGTCGCCGTGGTCGTCATTCCTCCTCCTCCCTCGTCGTCGTCGTCGTCCGTCGTCGGCGTCTCGTCGTCGTCCCTCCTATTTCGTCGCCGTCGTCGTCGTCGTCGTCGTTGTCGTTGTCGTCGTCTTCCCTCCTCCCTCGTCGTTGTCGTCGTCGGCGTCGCCGTCCTTCCTCCTTCTTCGTCGTTCGCGTCGTCGCCGTCCTCCCTCCTCCCTCGTCCTTGTCGTCGTTGTCGCCGGAGTCGCCGTCGTCGTCCTCCCTCCTCCCTCGTCGTCGTCTTCTTTGGCGACGTCGTCGTCGTCTTCGTCGTCGTCGTTCTCGGCGTCGTCGTCGTCGACGCCGTCGTCGTCGTCGTCGTCGGCGTCGGCGTCGGCGTCGGCGTCGTTGACGTCGTCGTCGTCGGCGTCGTCGTTGTCGTCGTCGTCGTCGGCGTCGTCATCATCGTCGTCGTTGTCATCGTCGTCGTCGGCGTCGTCGTCGTCGTCGGTGTCGTCGTCGTCGTCGTCGTCGTCGTTGTCGGCGTCGTCGAAGTCGTTGGAGAAGTCGTCGGTGTCGTAGTCGTTGTCGGCGGCGTCGTCGTCGTCGTTGTCGCTGTCGTCGTCGGCGTCGCTGTCGTTGGCAAGTGCCATTTGGTACCCACCGCCACGGTCTTAAGAGATTTTGCGAACCAAGTTGCGGGTGGGTGGGTGGGATGTTTGCGCGAGCAGTGGAGTAGTCAAGCGCGGTGCAGGGTAGTCAATTGCACCACATAGATTTCACGACGTGGCTTGCACCACATCAGTTGCACCATATACTTTATTACGTATAGCTTGCTTATCATACAATGTACCATATAGATTGCACAAACTAGATTGCACCTCGTAGTACGCTGGAACACGCTGGTCGGGTTCCACCGTGGCTAACAGTTCATGAAGCAGGTCCTCAGTATTTTCTGGCTGTTCGCTGCGAGAAAGTGGATGAAGGAGAGAGCTCGATGAACTACACTCGAGTGGCAGACAATGGACGAAGAGGACGGGAAAGTGTGAGATGAGAGGGGGGTGAGAAAGGGGACGAAGATGAATAACGAGGAGGAGCGAGAGGGAAGGGCGAAGAGGAGGACTGAGGATAATGAGGTACATCGAGGGATTCGGAGGAGGACGAGGCTTGTCACACATGTGTGCCAGACACATCCCCCCTGCACGCCATCCCCTTCTGGCATGATCTAGTCCTGTGTTGTCTGGCTTGGTCAGGTCGTGTCTCCTACTTCCTACTTCTCGGACGGGGGGGGGCGGCTACGACCTGAGCCCGAGGCCCCTATCGTTCCGCGGCGTTCCTCGCGCCCGATCGATCTCTGAGGGCCTTGCACGGGGCCTTAGACTTGGCGGGAACGCCCCGTGCGGTAAGCATTGCGGCGCCCTCATCTCAGGGGCAGCCGCGATTGCGTGCTCCCTCACATCCGCCGATCTGATTTGTCCGATCCGCCTTTCCAGAGCTCCCAGCCGCTTCCCCAAGGGTAGTCAGTTGATCGTCCCGGATCCATTGTTGCTTGTCTGGGGGCCCGATAACATGACCCAAGGCCCAATGGCCGAAATCGAGGAAGAATTCACGGTGAATCAATACATCGCCGAAGGTTTGGTTCGTGCGGGATCCACTTTTGATGGTCTGGGGGCCCGATAACGGGACCCAAGGGCCAAAATCAAAGGACAATTTGCGGTGAACGCATATCTAGTCGGACCGAGGTATAAGATCGAGGTCGGTTCGGGGAGGGTATCTGAATGATGTTCGTGCTTGTTGGACGTTCTATTGTGCACCCTGGGGAGGGTGCCCTTGGGTGTTCTGTGCGCTCTTGCCGGCGGAGGATCTCCTGTGATTGAGGGATGTTCTTCTGCCCCAGGTTCGAGTGTACCGTCCAAGATTTGGGCGCTCAGTTTCCCCGTGCTCCGCCAGGGCGTCCTGGCCTCCCGGCGCCCCCCGCCCTCCCATCGCGGCGGCTTCCGCTGCCCGCCCGCTTGCTGAGCCCTCTTGCACCACCGCAGGGGGTGCCGAAAGTATAGGGAGGACCAGGCATCACCCACCTCAGTGTCCACCTCTGTCTCCAGCAGCAAGCCCGCCTGCTAGGCCCCTCTCGGATCACCGCGGGGGCTGCTACGGGGAAAGGGATGGCCAGGCATAACACACCTCAGCATCCACCCCTGACCTGACGATGTTCCAACTTAAACTTACTTGAGCCTCAGGCACGAAGAAGGTACCGGAACCGACAGGTGCTCACGTGTCGGGCCCCAGGAGGCGATGCTCCTTCGACACTTCGCAAGCGCGTCGGGGCATACACCGTCTCATTACGTTCTGGGGCGCTCTAGCCACTGTTTGGGATGTGATTCCTTCATTACGATGGGAGCAACATCCCTCAGTAACTATCTTTCTGGGTCTGCGTTGGACCCCCCTCCCTGGCGCGCGGAGCGCGCCATGGGCGGCGCCAGAGGCGCCGCTAGGGGGCCCCAGCGCGGATCCAAGAAATCTGCGCGGAGCGCCCTAAGTCTATGTTTATGGCGATGTTCCTTCTCCGAGTTCAAGTCTGTCGAAGGGTTCAATGATCGCAAGACATCAGATTACGACGGGAACAACATCCCTTTGATCCCCGTATCTCCTCAGCAACCTTCGCGTTGGTCCGAGCTCCTCCTACTCCGGTAGGCGGCGAGCCAGGGGGAAGTGAGAAGGGGTGGGTTTTCTCAGAAGGTTCGGAAGTATCTCAGACTTCTGCGAAGTTTTCTAAGCGTTCCCCGAAGACACAGAAAACAGCTCAGAATGCGCAAGCGCTTCTGAGACGTCCCGCCGCTTTCTGAGAAGACCGTTTCCTTCTCACTTCCCCCCCGCTCGCCGCCGAATTTAGTTATGGGTCATGACTCGAACCTCTGGCGGGCGTTCGGGACGATCCGGGCATCCCCAGAACACTCTCGGCGAGGCGCAGCCGCTAGAGCGCATCCCGAGGGCGGAAAATCGCCAAGAAGCTACGAGAACTCCCGAAAACCTAGGAACACGAAGCTCGAACCTCGGAGTTTTCCCCCCTGGCTACTCCTCCTCCTCCTCCTCCTCCTCCGCCTCCTCCTCCTCCTCCTCCTCCTCCTCCTCCTCCTCGAGGTGGTCCGAGCTCCCCCGCGGCGGTCTGAGCTCCTGCTCCTCCGCAGCGCCAGCCGGCCTCCCGGCGCGCCGGCTGCGCCCCGTGGAAACGACTACACGTCAGAGTGATGTTTCGTTGGAGTGACCTTTGGCGCGGGGCCAATGGGGCCCCCCGATCGCCGAACGCGATGCGATGGTAGTGTCTTAAGCGCGCTTGTGTGCTGGGACCCCGCGGTCCCCGAAAAGCCGAAAGCCGCGCACCAGAGGTCACCATTACCCAGGGTCCTCCTCCTCTTCCTCCTCCTCATTCTCATCCTTCCCTCCTCCAACTGCCCCTCCTCCTCCTCCTCCTCCTCCTCCTCCTCTCCCTCCTCCTCCTCGTCGTCCCTCCTCCTCCTCCTCCTCCTCTTCTTCCTCCTCCTCCTCCTCCTCCTCCTCCTCTTCCTCCCCCTCCTCCTCCTCCTCCTCCTTCTCCTCCTCCTCCTCCTCCTCCTCCTCCCCTCCTCCTCCTCCTCTCCTCCTTCCCTCTCCTCCTCTCCTCCTCCTCCTCCTCCTCTCCTCGTCTTCCTCCTCCTCCTCCTCCTCCTCCTCCTCCTCTCCTCCTCCTCCTCCTCCCTCCTCCTCCTCCTCCTCCTCCTCCTCCTCCTCCTTCTCCTCCTCCTCCTCCTCCTCCTCCTCCTCCTCCTCCTCCTCTCTCCTCCTCCTCCTCCTCCTCCGCCCTCCTCCTCCTCCTCCTCCTCCTCCTCCTCTCCTCCTCCTCCTCCTCCTCCTCCTCCTCCTCCTCCTCCTCCTCCTCCTCCTCGCCCTCGATGGGCGCCCCGCGGAGGCCTCCGCCGCCCCGAGCGGTCGCCCAGCCCGCCGGCTAGCGCGCGCGGCGCCCCGGGCGGCACGCCGCGGACGCCGAGGCGCGGCGCGTCGCCCGCCCGGGGCGCGGCGGCAGCGCACGGGGCCCCCTGGTCTGCCTCCTCCCTCCTCCTCCTCCTCCTCCTCCTCCTCCTCCTCCTCCTCCTCCTCCCTCCTCCTCCTCCTCCTCCTCCGCTTCCGTAGCCATTTTGGCTCAAGCTCGGCTCGACGGGGCGCCCTCCGCGCGCCCGCCGATGGCGCCCGTGCTCGCGGGGCCGGCGGCGGCGGCGCCCAGGCGATGGTTGCCTTCCGCGGCGGCGGCGCCCCGCCGCTTGCGGCCCAGCGCCGCCCAGGCGGGGCGCCCGCGGGCGCGGCGGCCGCAGGCGCGGCGGCCGCGGGCGCGGAGGCGCGGAGGCGCTGGGCCGCGAAGGTGGCCGGGAACTGGCGGGAGTTGGAGAGGGCGCCGCTGGAGGTGCGCGCGGACCGCGGCGTCGTGGCCGCCGCCGTGCGCCAAAACGGGCAGGCGCTCATGCACGCCGCCCACCCGCTCCGAGCGGACCGCCAGCTGGTGCTCGCCGCCATACGCGACAACCCGTCGGCCCTCGACTTCGCGGCGGAGCAGCCCTGGCGCGACCAGGCCTTCGTGGTCGCGGCGGTCGGGCGCGACGGGGTGGCCCTCGGCCAGGCGTCGCCCGAGCTGCGGGCCGACCCGCAGGTCGCCCTGGCAGCCGTGAGGCAGTCGAGCTCGGCGCTCGACTCGGTGGGCACGGAACTGTGGTCGAGTCGGGACTTCGTGCTGGCGGCGGTGGAGCAGGACGGCTCGACGCTGATGTTCGCCCAGGAGGCGCTGCAGGGTGACAGCGAGGCGGCGATGGCCGCCATTCGTGGCGGCGGCTGCGCAGCCGTGTCGCATGACGCCACCGCCCTCATGTACGCGGCCGACGAGCTGCGGGCCGACCACGAGTTCGTCTTCGCCGCCGCAACCAACGGCGCGGCCGCCCTCGCATATGCGGCCGAGGGGCTTTCGGAGGACGAGAACTTTGTGCTGTCGGCTGTGCAGGTCGGCGACGAGGCGCTGCTGTACGCCTCGGACGCCCTACGGGCGGACCCAGGGGTGCTGGCGGCCAGGCACAGCGCCGCGGCGTCCGGGTACGTGCCCAGGGAGCTCTGGGCGGACCGCGCCTTCGTGCTCGAGGCGGTGCAGCTCGGCTCGGAGGCCCTCCTGTACGCCACGCACTTCCAGGCTGACGGGGTGATCGTGGAAGCGGCGGTGCGCGCGGACGCGGCCGCGCTCCTGTACGCGCACCCCTCGCTGCGGCGGGAGCGCAGGCTGCAGAGGCTCGCGGGCGGCGGGCGGCCCGCGGCCGGCGCCCCAGCGGCGACCTCCCGAGGTCGCGCTGCTGGACGAGGACGACGAGGAGGCGGAACAGTAGCCAGGGGAGGGCTGGCCCGGCAGCGACGACGTCGAGGTGATGGAGGACGGCTTGCCGCCGGCGCCGGCGCCGAAGCGGAGGCGAGTGGCGCCCGAGCCCTCCGCCGCGGCCTCGGCCACGGCCGCGGCCGCCGCCGCAGGGGCCGCGCGGGCGGCCGCGCCGTCGTGGGCCGATGACGCGCCGGCGGGGGAGCGGCTGGACCCGTGGGCGCTGCTGGGGCGGCCCGGCGGCTGAGCTGCCGGGGGGCGGGCCGTCCCGGCCGGGACGGCAGTCGCTCTCTCGGAGCGCCGGCCGCATCTTTCCTCCTGCCTCTTCCCTCCTGCTGTTCCTCCTCCTCCTCCTCCTCCGCCTCCTCCTCTCCTTCCCTTTCCTCCTCCTCCTCCTCCTCCTCCTCCTCCTCCTCCTCCTCCTCCTTCGGCACCTGTGCCACTGCGACCCCTTCCCAGAAAAACAAGCGGGTAGCAGCCCGATCGTCACCTTTGTTTGCTTGTAGGGGGCCAAGGGAGAGAAAATTGCTCTCGTCGCCAACGGCCACCCATGGAGTGGGTGATGGGTAGGTTGGGCGTCGGAGCACGGACTCCGTCGCCCCCTACGCCGAACAGGGCGCGCGGAGCACGGTCTGCTTGCGCGCCCTGTTTTGCGCATTCAGCGCGCCGCGGGAGCATGGCCCTGGACCGTTGGCGCTGCTGCGCCTGCTGGCACTCCCCTGTTGGGGAGGTGCTCGGGCTCTTTTCCTTTCAGTCGGGCCCGTGCCCGAGTCGCCTGGCTGTGCCCTTGGCTCGCTCTGCGCCGCGCTTGTTAAAAACTCCTCCTCCTCCTCCTCCTCCTCCTCCTCCTCCTCCTCCTCTCCTCCTCCTCCTCCTCCTCCTCCCTCCTCCCCCTCCTCGCCCTCCTCCTCCTCCTCCTCTTCCTCTCCTCCTCCTCGCCCCCCTCCTCCTCCTCCCCCCCCCTCTCCTCGTTCTCCTCCTCGCCCCCCCCCCCCCCCCTCTTTCGCCGCCCGGGCTCGGGGGCAGCGCGCGGGGTTGGCGCGAAGTCGGGCAGGTGCCACGGAGCTCCAACGCAGTGAAAAAGTCACGGCGGAGTTGTTTTTTTTTTTCTCCAGTTTTCGGCCTCCAGGGGCCCTTGCCGGGCCTCGGGACCGTCAAAAAAACGACTCAGGGTGAAAAGTGGTTCTCGGGGGGCGGCTCAAGGCTTCCAGGGCCCCCGCATTGAAATAATCACGACATCGGACTTTCGGTCTACATAAGGCAGTTGCGAAGCGTCCTGGCTCGCATACAGGCCTACCATCGAAGTTGCCATAATAACTTTTTTGTAGTCCCGACGACATGTTCTCATAGCACTTCGGGCTGGGACTGTCCGGGTCTAGTGCGTCAGGTTTTCGTTTCAAGAACATTGCATTTGTTTTTAGAACGTCTTTGGGTTCTACGAGCCTCTCGCGGTATGCCTATAGGAATACCGGGACGGTCGGCCCCTGTTCAATTGTAGGAGGAATACTCAAAAGTACTGAGTGAACAGCCGGGGGCGATGGTTTGACGAGTTTCGATTGTTGTTTGGGTTTTTTGGGGTTTTCCGAAATCCGCCTGTAGGAGGGCATGCCCGACCTAGGGTTGGCGGCAAGCAGAGGGGCCCCTTTGGGGCCCGTGTTGGCTTCAAAAGGGGCCCTAAAAGGTTTCTTTTACAGGGTTTTCTTCTTCACCCCCCCATCTGGGTCACCCCCCATTGCCACGCGCCCGGTTCCCGGGGGCAGGGGTCACGAAAAACTCGCAATGTGGGAGGAGAGGGTTCCAGGTTGTCGGCTGGGTTGACGGCGCGCAGAAGGGGTGTAGGGGCTCAGGCCTCCTCGCGGTGTGGAAAAATCACGTCGGAAAGGTGTCTCGCTGTTTTCGGCCTCCAGGGGCCTTCGCCAGGCCCGGGACTTTGAGAAAACGATTCGGGATGAAAAACTGGTCCCCAGGAAGGGGTCCAAGCTTTTGGGGGCCCACGAAGGAAAGAGGATGCCGAACCATTCTTTAACATCGGGGAATCAGGTCCTGAGGGAAATGGGTCCTGGACCTTGGTGCCCCCCCCAGGACAAGATCCTAATCCTGGGTCGGTTTCCGACAGTCCCGGGGCCCGTGGGAGGCCTCCAGGGCCGAAAAACGGCGACAAGCCTCAGGACACGCTTCCCTCAGGATCCGTTCCCCACGGCGATTATTTGTTTTAGCGGCGTGCTCAAGGTGGTAGAGGGAAGGGGGGAGGCTTCGTAGAAGGAGGCTTTTGCTTGGAAGGCGCGCGCCTTGCATCTGTGGACAAGACCCGCGCCTTCCAAGAAGCAGGGGTGTTTCTTAGAAGCCTACCTCCTCTCCGTACGGTAGGGAGAGGAGGGAGGCTTCTTAGACGCCAACGCACAGGGGGGTAGGGACCCTACCCCCCTGTGCGCGACGCCAACGGGAGGGTGAATGGCTCTAGGCCTCCTAGGTGGGGCTCGGCCTCCTGGGTGGGGTCGGAGTAGGTGGGGTCGGAGGATCGCTCCGCATAGCCGATGCATCGGCGATGCGGCTCGACGAGGGGCCCAATTTTCTCCACGCCGACGTCGCCGATGCATCGCCGACGTCGCCAGTGCATCGCCGATGCATCGCCGATGCATCGGCGATGGATCGCCGATGTATCGGCGATGCGGCGAGCTCTTCCGACCCCATCTACTCCGACACCATCTAGGAGGCCTCCATGTAGGGGGAGGGCGGAAGGCTTCTCAGACGGAGGCTGCTGCTTGGAAGGCGCGCGCCTCGCATCTACAGACAAGGCCCGCGCCTTCTGAGAAGCGGGGGGGGGGGGGGTTCTAAGAAGCCCTCCCCCCTCCCCCTATACTACCCCCGCTGCGCGTGGCCGGGCAATGCAAGCCCCCCCTCTCCCAGAAGAGCCACCACCTGCAGCGGCCAAGAGAGGCGGAAGTCCCAGGTCCGCCCGAGGGCCGTCCTCGCGGCGGCCCCTCTTCGCCGCCGCCGCCTTCGACGTCTTTCCCTCCTGGCCGCGGCCGGGCCGGTCTGTCTTCCTCCTGCTCCCATCGACTACACGTAAGAGTGACCCCTCGCCGGAGTGACCTTTGGTGCGGGCTCCTCGGGCTCCCCCCGATCGCCGAGCACGATGCGATATAAGAGGCCCTCGCCCTTGGGTTTGGCTCCTTCGCGCCCCCAACGGCTGCGCACCAAAGGTCACTCTTACCCAGGGTCACTCTTACGTCTTGCTGATCCCACCTCTCCCCTTCCCCTCCTCCTCCGCCTTCCCCTCCTCCCCACCCCCCCGTGCGCGCCGCCAACGGGGGGGGGGGAGGTCTCGAGGTTCTCCCGGAGATCCAAGCGTTGCAGAGGAAACCGTGACGGCCAGCCTTTATTTTTGGAGGGGCCTTCGGCGCTGGGAAGCCGCTCCCCCGGCCTCTCGGGACCGTCGAAGACCGGCGCGGGCGGGAAAAAGGTGGCCTCGGGCAGGCGGGCGAGCTTCCTTGCAGCAGGCGTCGCGAAAAAAAGTCGCCATGCCAGAGGAGCGGGTTCCGGGTTCTCTCGGGCGGGTGGGGGGTGGCCCGGATGGGGGGTGAAGAAAAAAGGCCCGAGAGGGGCCCTTCAGGGCCCCTTTCGGGCACTGACTGGCTTCAAAAGGGGGCCCGACAGACAGGGGAAGGTTACGCTTTCGATTTGTTCGGTGCGTTTTGTCTGAGATACGATCAGTTCTGGCAGTCGACGGTGATCCTGGCGGGAACAGAATCCGCGACGACGGTGTTGCAGATGACGTCGACGGCGGCAATGGCGGCGGGGCATCTAGCGGATCTTGTCGACTAGAAGTCTTCGACACAGCGCAGTGCGTCTCAAGAACCCGCGATTACTTTGTAATCAGAACTTGAAGTGCATTCAAGGCCCCGTGATTACTTGGTAATCCTGTCTCCCTTGTCCTGCCACAAGGCATGCACGCGCGCTGGCAGCTCGCGGCACAGGCTGTCCACGTCGTAGTGGTCGTTGATGTGCGCTGCGACCAGCTTCAGGCGCCCGCGGTAGTCGTCCGGCGTCTCCTCCCCAGGGCGCCGCGGCGAGGTTTTCGCGAGGCGGTCCCTGGTCCATGCCACGGCAGTCTCGTGGAGCATGCTCTCCTGCAAGTTGCCCGGCTGCATGGACGCGCCGCCCCCGAAGAACGACTTCGGGTGCGCCGCTGCCGATGCTTTCTTGCACTCCTCCGCGAGCTTGCCGTTTCCCCGCCGCCCCGAAGAGGCCGTTGCCGCGGTCCGTGAAAACACCACCTTCGGCGCGCGGGCCCCCCTGGAAGCGGACGTTCACAACGCGGCCTTCACGCGGCCGGCCATCGCGGCGGCGCCGCCTGGCGTCTCCCCAGGGAAGTCGCGAGGCCGCGCCTCGATGTGGAATTCGCCTTCTTGCCAGGATGGGGACCCACCAGACTCTCTCTGCGTGTCGGAGCCGTTCCGTTTCTGCACTGCCTTAGGCGTCCGCAGATTCGCCGATTTGCCCTCGGACCCCTTGCTCATCCAAGCCTTGCCAGGCTTCCTGGCCAGCGCGAGCTCCTTTGTCTTTTTCTGCGTCTTCGGGAGTATGCTATTGCAGAGGTCGCACCACACGACGTTGTTGTAGTACCAGGAGTCCGCGCGCTCGTTGCCCCGCACGTGCACAGCGAAAGCGAACCTTTGAGCAAGGACTGCCTCGCCCCAGTCTGCTGTGCAGGCACACCCCGACGCGTCCTCAGAACAGTGGCTGCCTGGACCGCGCGAACGGCCATAACAGGTCAGCAGACCGCATCGAGTTTTGAAAACATGTTGTGGTAAGCTCACAATCAGACCGACGCGCTTGGACACTCCCTGGAACCTGCGACTCTGCGATACAGGGTCTAATGCGGACCGTGACAATCTTGCCATGTTCTGCCAGGTGTCGCCTGGGTCCTCGTCGTGGCACGTCTCCCGGAAAACCCGGTAGACAGGGTGCCCGTCGATTGGCTGCCCCGCACTCGGGCTCAGCGTCGCTGTCGGGCACGCAGCCACTATGGAGGAGCACGTCGGCTCCTCTCCACTGGTCTTCCGCCTCGTTGCGGCCGCAGCGATCGCGGTCGCCTCTGGGACTCGGAGCAAGCGCTCCGGGCCAGGGGCGGCCTCCGCGTAGCCCCTCCCCAGGGAACCAATCAGGGCCGTCGTCCATCCTCTGGAACAGCTGCCCCGCAGCCTGGGCGCGGGGCGAGCCGCCTCGCGGCCTCCCGCCGAGCGA